CAATCAATACACCATTTATTCTTACAATGCTCTTCCCTAGCAATGACAACGTACTAGTTCAACACATGAGTATATAGAACTCGAATCAAACTAGATATATTTATAAAGAAAAGCATTAGTTAAAGCAACCACTAATGGGCATAAATTGTGTACAAAAGCTATTAGGTAATTCTATCTTCGGAGTCATTTTTAAATAATTGAGTCGAGGCACATTTCATATTCTTTATCGCATCTTCTCAAATCCTTTGCACTATTAGAGACAATCATAACTTAAATTCTTGGCACGTTGGCCAGACTCTATATCCCCAATTAACGTATTTCACTTCCAACCATCTCTATAGATTATCAACAATAAGATATTTCCAAATCAAGAGTTTAGGTACACATATGAGCAATTAAGAGTCTTAAGAATATTGAGATTTTCTCACACATTTTGGCATACTATCTTTCATTGAAACACGACTCAAAGCCATAACCTTTTAATACGCAACCCATACTTTGAAACTTACGGAAACATTATGGAATTCAATTCCAAGAGAGAAAGTTTAGCCAATATACCTCAATCGAGCTTCCTTAACTCTAGAATGATCCGGAATTCTTAGTAATCGCGATCTATTTTGAGACATAAAAAAATTGAACCATAATTAGGAAGATATTCATGGTCTCAGCTCATTTGAGAATTTTATCAGACACTAGGTGTGCAAATTTAACCACAAGATTCTTCTACAAGATTTCCTTCACTCCACAACCCAATCCTTACTTATTTCAACTCAACAATCTTTCCACAATTCTTATGGGTACATGCATGTATAAATAATAATCTCATACCCATGAATCATACTCCTAATCAACCATCTTCTACCCAAATTCAAAATTGAAAACTAGGGCATGGAACCTTACCTCTTAGATGAAGAACTTGTGGGTTTTTCCTTGTTAATCTTCCAAGATTTGAGCAAGACTTGATGAATAATTAGCCTAGGGTTTCCTCTCTCTCTAAAACACTCTCCCTTCTCTCTAAAACATCAGAATTTTTGCTCAAAAATGACCCTTTGTGTGTATTTAACGAAGTAGGGTCAGGTTGTAAGAACCCAAAAATAGAGCTCAGAAACAAGTTCTGCGGTCGCATATACGACCGCATATCAGTCGCATGATTACAGACCAAAACGATCAAAAATCTGTCCGTGTATGCGGTCACTATGTGGTCCGCATAACTGTTATGCAATCGCATAATGCACTGCATAACAGTTATGCGGTCGCATAGTCGACCGCATAATTGCCCCCAGACTGGCCGTTCTCCTGCTCACTTTTGCGGCCATTATGCAGCCCGCAGAGTGGTTCTGCGGTCGCATAATGGACCCCAGAAATGCGTTTTTCCGCCAAAACTTTTTCTTTACCTTCCGGTGCATTGTTCAACCCAAAAAGTCTGAATACCATCCTCAAACACGTAAGCCTACTCCTGCACCACGAAACCTTGAATTCACTTGCAAAATTTACGGGGCTTTACACTGAAATACTTCAAAAATTTTCGGGGTGTTACAGGTTATGTCACTCCCATTCCTGCAGTCGCAATTGAAAATCCTCAGTGGGTTAACCCCAACAAAACTTGTGCCTATCACTCGGGCATGAAGGGACACGCCATTGAGGAATGTCGCATGTTGAAAGATAAGATCCAAACATTGATCAAAGGAATATGCACCGAATGTCCGCAATAATCCCCTTCCCGACCACAGGAGTGAGGGAGTAAACATGATCGAGACTACTGAAGAATGGGACCAGGAAGGATCCATCGGTCTTATTCGAGAAGAAGACATTGCTATGACATCCCCTGTCATACTCTCACCGATTGTGGTGCAAGCCACGGTACCGTTTGAGGTTGAAGTGGCTACATCTAGGCCACCGTTCACTGTGATGGTAGCTCCATCGTCATCCTACCAATCTGATGTTGTTCCATGGAATTATGTGGCAGTGGCACGAAGGAAAGAGAAAGCCAAGATAGAAGAAGTGGGTGTTGCCCTAGGAATGACTAGAACATGCAGGGTCTACATGCTGGAAAATCTCGCTCAGGGAGGAAAACGTAAGGAAACCGCACCAAAACCACCTATTGTGGAAACATGTACTGATGATCTTTGGAGAAAAGTACAAGCAAAGTAATATTCTATTGTTGATCACTTAAACAAAACTCCTGCCCAAATATCTATCTTGTCATGGTTGCAAAACTCAGATGCACACAAGAACGCCTTGATGAAGGTGTTGAGAGAAGAGTATGTACATGTTGGCATCACCATTGGAGAGATGGAAAATATTGTTGGACAGGTGCTGGAGACACACAAGATCACCTTCCACAAAAATGAGTTGCCACCGGAAGGTTTGAGCAGTAACAAAGCATTACACATCACCGTTCAACATGAAAACAAATTCATTAATCGAGTCTTGATTGATGGAGGTTCAAGTTTGAACATATGCCCTCTGACTATCCTGAAAAGATTGGGCATAGACATAGCGAAGATATAATTGGGAAGCATGAACGTGAAAGAATTTGATGGGTCCCAAAGAGCTACAATTGGAGAAATTGACCTGGGTTTGAAGATAGGCCCGACCATGTTCGATGTCAAGTTCCAGGTATTAGATATCTCTGCTACCTACAACCTGTTGTTGGGACGCCCATGGATACACATGGCTAGGCCAGTTGCTTCTATTTTGCACCAGGTTGTGAAGTTCGAGTGGAATCATTAGGAGGTGATTATTCACGGAGACGGAAACAATCCTATCTATACCAACCAGATCGTACCAGCAGTTGAAAACAAAAGGATGTTGGGAGGAGAAACATTCTACAGTATCGAGGGGATAAATATAGTCGAGAGAGGACGATGATGGAGCAATAAGGTGCTAAGCATGATACTTTGGTTGGGTATGAGCCGGGAAAAGGTCTTGGTCCCAAGCTTCAAGGGATAACGAAACCAATACGACCACGTACTCAGGACACAATCTTTGGTCTCGGATATGAATACACTGTAGCAAGAATATGAGGATTGGTCACCACCATGGCATGACTTCTATTATCCATTGCCTAAACCACACCACCGTTGTACCAGACATTCGGTAAGGTCGATTTGATTTAGGGTGCTGAAGAAGATGAGATCTTAGTTGGTATGAGGAACCTGTTTCTGAACGGGGAAGATATGGATTGCAACGTGATCTTGGGGGAGGATGAGGAAGACCTTATCATCTAGATGGTAGGAGATGGAGTTGCTCTCAGGAACTGGACCATCGCAACATCCCAGGCTCACCGAGCACTTTGGTAGCTTTGGCAGAACTAGCATGATTTCCTTTTAAAAATTATTTTCTAGCATTTAAGACATTTTAGTATTTTTTTGAAATAAATACTCGAGAATCGAGTCGTGTTCGTCTAACAGTTTTGAGTTTTTGATTAATGCATCATTTCTTTTAGTTTATTTATATTATTATCTCTCTGCATTCTTTTTAGCATAACCATTTCCTATCCTATTGAATCTACAACTATGACATGTAATGAGACAATGTAACACGATGAGAGCGATTCAGAAGAATGGGAAAATGATGTAATACATGAGAAAATTGTCAGGGAAGTAGAGGATTTTGAGAATAAACCAAAGTCCAATCTGGAAGAGACTGAAGCCGTTAATTTGGGAGATTCCGAAACAGTCAAAGAAACTCGCATTAGCATTCATCTATAATCAACAGATAGAGAAGAGTATTTCAAATTTTTGAAGGAATATGAGGACATCTTTGCATGGTCTTACGACGACATGACAGGGTTGAGCACATCTATAGTGGCTTACAAGCTACCTACCAATCCCATGTGTCCACCACTGAAACAAAAACTCAAAAAATTCAAGCCAGACATGAGTTTGAAGATAAAAGAGGAGGTTACCAAGCAAATCAAAGACAAAGTCCTCCGAGTTGTCGAATATACGACCTGATTAGCCAATATCGTGCCCGTACCAAAGAAAGACGGGAAGGTTAGGGTGTGTGTTGACTACCAAGATCTGATTAGAGCAAGTCATAAGGATGATTTTCCACTACCCAACATACACATATTGATTGTTAACTGCGCCAAGCATGAACTCCAATCCTCTGTTGATTTCTTCGCAGGATACCACCAGATCTGGATGGACGAAGAAGATGCAGAGAAGACAACCTTCATCACACCATCGGGGGTGTACTACTACAAGATGATGTTGTTTGGTTTGAAGAATGCCGGGGCGACCTACATGAGGGCCATGACTATTCTCTTTTATTATATAATACACAAGGAAATAGAAGTGTACGTGGATGATGTTATCATCAAATCTAAGAAGAGCCCGGATCACATAGCAGACCTGAGGAAGTTTTTCGATCGAGTGCGGAAGTACAACCTGAAGTTGAACCCTACAAAATGTGTTATCGGAGTCATTTCCGGGAAGCTGCTAGGTTTCATTGTCAGCCACCATGACATTGAGCTGGATCCGTCAAAGATGAAAGCCTTTTATGATTTGCCACCACCAAGAAATAAGAAAGACATAATGAGCTTATTGGGCCATCTTAATTATATTAGCCTTTTCATATCACAATCAACGGTAATATATGAACCAATCATCAAAATGCTAAAAACAAATATGCTGCAACTAGTTGGACCGAGGAATGTCAAAAGGCTTTCGATAAAATCAAGGAGTATCTGTCCAAACCTCTTGTGTTGGTTCTACCATAGCCTAGGAGATCTCTACTGTTGTACCTGTCTGTGTTGGACAGAGCATTTGGATGCGTCTTGGGACAACATGATGAGACCGGAAGGAAGGAGCTAGCAATATACTATTTGAGCAAGAAGTTCACACCTTACAAAGCCCGATATTGGAACGCACCTGTTGCGCTATAAAGTAGATAGCCCAGAAGTTGAGGCATTATTTCTGTGCATACACCACTACCTCATATAAAGAATGGATCCCTTAAAGTGTATTTTACAGAAGTCGATGTCTATAGGCAAGATGGCGAAGTGGCAGATACTTCTAAGTGAGTTCGACATCATCTATGTGACTCAGAAAGCAATCAAGGGGCAAGCATTGGCTGATGACCTGGCAGAGAATCATGTGTGCGGAGAATATAAACCATTAAAAATGTATTTTCCCGATGAGGAAGTGTCGTTCATAGGAGAAGATATCGCCTAAGCATATGATGGTTGGAGAACGTTCTTCGACGGAGCCGCAAACTTCAAGGGAGTGGGCATCGAAGTTGTCCTAGTATTAGAAATCAGCCAGCATTATCTGGTATCTGCCAAGGTCCGATTCCCATGCACCAACAATATGGCTGAATATGACGCTTGCATTCTAGGACTCAAGTTGGCCATCGGCATGAACATCCATGAATTACTTATAATCGGAGACTCAAACTTGCTGATACACCGGTACTCGGAGAATGTTCCACCAAGAATACCAAGATACTGCCATACTTACATTGTGTGCAGGATTTGATCGACAGGTTCACAAAGATAGAATTCAAATATGTTCCTAGAATTTATAACGAGTTTGCAGATGTATTGGCCACCCTATATTCCATGATACAACATCCAGACAAGAAATAAATCGACCGCATCCCAATAGAGATCCGCAAACAGCCTGCCTATTGTGCTCATGTTGAAGAGGAAGCCGATGAAAACCCATGGTTTCATGACATCAAAGAATATCTGGAAAGGGGAGAGTACACGGAAGGTGCTACACATACTCAAAAGTGCACATTACGAAGGTCGGCTAACCATTTATTTCATACCGGAGGAATTCCGTACAGAAGAACTCATGACTTGAGATTTCTAAGATGTGTCGATGCCACAGAAGCATCTAGGTTGATCGAATGGATACATGCAGGAACCTGCGGGACCATTTGCTCAGACCAATCAAGCATGCTACCTCCAATAGACATAGATTCCGTGACTAAGAAGGTCGTAACAGATCTTCTTCGGGACCGTATTGTCTGCTGGTTTGGGATGCCTGAATCAATCATTACTGATAATACCGCCAATCTCAACAGTTACCTGATGAAAGCCATATGTGAAACATTCAAGATCAAACACAGGAACTCTACAAGAACATTAAGAAGATACCAAGGGAGATAGTGGAAACTACAAATAGTGGCACGAGAAGCTACCATTTGCTCTGCTTGGATACTGCACCACAGTTCGAACGTCAACTGGGGCAACTCCCTATTTATTGGTCTATGGTACTAAAGTTGTTATACCCGCCGAGGTGGAAATTCCATCCCTGAGAATCATAGAAGAGGCCGAACCTAGCGAAACGGAATGGGTACAGAGCCGATACGTTCAATTGGCTCTCATTGACGGTAAAAGGATGAACACTGTGTATCACGGTCAACTTTACCAGAACAGGATGACAAGGAGTTTTAACAAGAAGGTTAGACCAAGGATATTCATACCAGGGCAACCGGTTTTGAAGCGGATCATTCCACATCAGGATGAAGCAAAGGAAAAATTCTCACCTAACTGGAAAGGTCCTTATATGGTTCACCGAATGCTGACAGGAGGAGCACTCATACTAGAAGAAATGTATGGGGAGATATGGCCAAAACCTATCAATTCGGATGCCGTCAAGAGATATTATTTTTGAGATTGTATTTTCACTTTCTTATTGATGTAACATGAACTACGCTTGACCTGATTCCCGTGTAAGAGGGGACACGTAGGCAGCCATGTGGGTTCGGTCACATTATATTAAAATCTTCATTCCCCTCTGTGGTCAGAAACTGGGGCAAGATTTTAAGCTTTAATGTCATCACATCAAGGATCGCAAGAAGGATATTGCCAAAAGTATTCATCAGAACTGGGGCAGAATTTTGAGAGGGTCCTCAAAATTTAAGAATAAGGACATTGCAAAGTCTCAAAAGCATGTCACACGACGATTTGACAAAACTATCTATCTTGTGCATTATCACATATTTTAAATAACTGCATTTCTTACAACTAATTAATTACAAATGCATGTTTCTTCACACAAATATGATAGTGATGTAAACATATGGTATGCTAGACTTGGTCATATTGGCCAATGAAGATGCAAAGGCTAGAAAAACAAGGTTTGCTTTCCAGAATTGAACATGTGGGATTGTCCACTTGTGAAAATTGTCTAGCAGAAAAATTAGCAAGAAAACCTTTTGGTAAGGCGACTAGAGTTGAATATCCTTTGCAATTAGTCCATTTGGATATTTGCGGGCCTATTAATGTTATAGATAGGCATGAAGCAATTTATTTCATCACATTTATTGATGACATTACCTGTTTCAGTGATGTCTATTTAATTTTCAACACATCAGAAGCAATAAGTTGCTTCAAACGCTATATGAGCTTAGTGGAAAATCAATTAGACAAGAATATAAAAGCTCTTCGAACTGACCGTGGTCGTGAGTACTTATCAACCTAATTTAATGGATATGTGATGAAAAGAGAATAGTTCATCATTTGACTATCCCCCAAAACTCCACAACAAAATGTTTTTACGAAGAGAAGAAACAGAACGCTCATAGAAATGGTTAGGTCAATGATGGCACAAGCTAACGTCGCAATTAGTACAGGGGTGATGCATTGCTTACTGCCACCTATGTACTTAACCGAGTGCCTACAAAGTCAGTTACTACTACTCCATATGAGTTATAGACTAGAAGACAATCTGACCTGAGTGTATTAAGACCTTGAGGTTGTGTTGCCTATACACATGATTCCTCTCACAAATATGGTAAATTGGGGCTGAGGGAAAGAAAAGTATCTTTATAAGATACTTTGAAACCTCAAAGGGTTATATGTTTAATGGTCAGCAAGATAGTGGGAGTGTAAATGAGTTTGAATCACACGATGTCACATTCTTAGAGGATGAGTTTCCTAAGAAGGGAGAGGTAGGTCAAGACCTAACCTTATTTGAGATAATGGATCAAGAACTACAAAGACCAGTTCATTCTAGTGGGAGAATTTTAGCAAATGATGGATTAGTTTCTCATCAACGACCTCCATCATCATTAGATGCGAATGAAAGTATTCCTTCTATATTTAGTGGAAGTGAGCAAATGGATCTTATTCCAAGTGGGAGCGAGATGGTCACAGATCTTGTTTCAAGTGGGAGAATGATGAATGTTCTTGATCCGAGTGGGAGAAACATTGGTCCAAATGGGAACAATAATGAATCACAAATAAGACGTGGTTTTAGTAAAAAGACTCCCCACCCGATTTGATATTGAAGGCGGCGAATAATTTATGATGCTCCTACAAGAAGAAAGCGAGCCTAAAAATATAAAACAGGCTCTCTCATGCCCTTCTAAGGATAAATGGACAAAATCAATGGAAGAATAATTGGAGTCTGTGAGAGTCAACAAATTTTGGGAACTAGTTGACCTTCCTGAACGATGCAAAGCAATTGGGAGCAAATGGGTTCTCAAAATTAAGCTCAAGGCTGATGGCATAGTTGAGAGATATAAGGCTTGACTGGTGGCGAAAGGGTACACACAACAGAAAAGAATAGACTACGAAGAGACTTTCTTGCATGTTGTACGGTTTACCTTTGTTTGACTGGTTCTAGCTATTGTTGCAAGCTTGGATCTTGAATTACCAGATGGATGTAAAGACTGCCTCTCTCAATGGAGAATTAGATGAAGAAATTTATATGGAACAACCAGAGAGTTTCATTGAAAAAGGCCACGAATAAAAAGTTTATAGACTTTTGAAGTCTATTTATGGCCTCAACAATCTTCAAGACAGTGGTATATACATTTTTAGAATGTTGTCGTATCCAATGGTTTTACCATGATGGACGAAGACTAATACGTTTATACCAATAGATCAAGGAACAAGCTAGTGATTTTAACATTGTATGTAGATGATATACTTATAGCTGGAAATAATAATGGGTTTATAACCGAGATAAAGTCATGGTTGTCATCTCAATTTGAGATGAAATACATGGGTGAAGCTGCATATATTATTGGAGTTAAGACTTTAAGAGATCGTCCAAAGAAAATATTGTATCTCTCACAAGAGAATTACATTAGGAAAGTTCTTGAATTGTGAGAATTATATTAGGAAAGTTCTTGAACAATTCAATATGCAAAATAGTAGCCCAGTTGATACACCTATCAGTAAAGGCCATACCTTGGGAGGTCAGATGTGTTCTAAGACTCCTGATATCTGTCAAGCAGTTGGCTTGGTAAGTAGATATCAAACTGATCCAGGTTTATCACATTGGCAAACAGTAAAGATGATCATGAGATATCTTAAGGGAACTGCTGATTATGCACTAACCAAGGCGAAAAGGAACTGTGGTTAGTTGGATACAGTGATGCTGATCTCGAAGGAGATATAGACGAGAGGAAATCTACCTCAGAATATGTTTTCTTACTTAGTGATGGCACGATATCATGGAATAGTAAGAAACAATCATGTGTATCACTATCTATGATAGAAGCCGAATACATGGCTCTCGCATTAGCAATACAAGAAGTTGTTTGGTTGAAAAAGTTCTTGGAACACTTGTTGGATATCGCTGAAGATACTGAACAATGTTAGTCTACTATGACAGTGAGGCTGCAATATCCTCCACTAAGGACCGTAAGTTTCATTGTAAAACCCAACACATAGATATGAAGGATATCTATATGAGAGATATAGTTAGACGTAAGGTAGTGAACGTAAAGTATGAGTCTATATAAGATATGTTAGCTGATCCATTGACTAAGCTGTTGTCTAGAGATGCATTTATGAGACACACTAGGTCTCAAGGCTTGCGTAGACTTTGAGATACTTCATTTTGTTCTTTATTTTGTCATGTTCACAAAACTGATGTTCTTTGATTATGAATAAAGTTGATTTTCATACATGCATATATATTTTTATTGTTGAATGTTATGTGCATTCTTTATTCTTTTTGTTTTATAAGTATGTCGAGTAGACAAGAAGTTGACCTTCTCACACAGGCAACTGCCTCCTTATCTTAATGATGTGAGGAGATGAGACATGATTTTAAGCAAAATTATCATGAGGATAACTTGAGAAATATTTGCTTAAAATCAGAATGTGCTTAAACAATGACATAAGGTCATTATGGTGAAAAACATTCATCTAGTCTACTTTGTGAGCCAGATGTGAGTTAAAAATGATATTGTAGATTAATGAACTAAAATTTAGATACTTATGGCTTCTAAATATCATATATACAACATTCTTTATGAGATAAAAACATACGCTCCTTGGGAAAAAGGAGACGATGTTGTAGCACATGTTTCATACCATGTGTGGTAATGCCGACCAATTGGATTAACATAAGTCCATTCTCAACTTAATGGTGAGACCCAGAGCTTTTATGGTGGCTCAAGATTTTGTACCCTCAGAGACTCTGATCAGATACTTGAGACTTAGTGTGATATTAGCTATCTTAGTGTGTTTCCAAAGGAATGGTGCATATCTAGAAAAACAATCAAACTAATGTTAAGGGGATTGTGAGAAGAGGAAGATCATTGATACAATCTCATTTATTTGTGTTCACTGGTGCACTAATTATAACTTATGGGTTATGATTGTGAATACAAGAATAATGATATATGAACCACGATGAATGTAAACAAAACATCTAAACAGAAATAAGATGTGATACTACGATTCAAGTCGCCAAAGAACTTACTGAAATACTCTGAGCAATCGTAATAAGTTGTATAGGCCAGAGTTTGGTTTGCGTAATAATGGGTGGAAGCTAACTCACAGGCATACTTCACCAAATTGAGAAGGAAAGGACCCTATACACATGCATGTAAAACGTACTGCTTTGCCATGTTCTGACGTCTGCATGCAGTCTTACTACGTTATTTTTATTTTCCCTTTGATAGTGAAGGCATGCATAATGAATTAAGTTGTTTGTTCTTTTATAGATTAAATGTGTTTTAAGTCTTGACCACATGGTTTCTCTATAGAGGTTAACCAGCGGAGCTACATACAACAAAAGCGGTTCAATTAAATCTCCTTAGTCGACCCGCTAATTATAATATGCAAATAGGATTGTAGATTTGAATTTCAGGTGTGATATTCTTGTATTTTCTTTTTGAGTCTTTTTAGTTGAATTTTTGATTCGGACTAATTAGCATGTTGTTTGCACCTAAAGCTGCATTAGTTTGTTAAATGACATATTGAGGTTATAATAGTATTAATCAACTATGATTATGTGTGATATATCGGGCACGAATATATTTCTTTTGTCCGGTATCTCGCATGGAAACAACACCCTTACTTCTTTTTTGGTCTTCCTTTTTTTATTTTGAAGCTACGTCAAGGAAAGGTACGTGTATATATAATTATAGACATGAGTTCTTACAGGAAAGTGCTGTATGTGGACCTTTAAAGCCATGTGATGCCATGTATATCGATGTTTAGCAAAAAGACAAACATTGAAGAGAGCATTGAGGTCTTTAAGCGACTTTGAGTTGGGGAAATAAACACATGAAGAAAGGCGACCTATCAAAGGAACATCCCATTATTATTAGTCAAATATATAATGCAATTATGGGGTCCGAAATAGTAGGCTTACATTCTCCTTGTCAACTCCTATAAAATGGGGCAAATTCTACAACGGGAATCCCATCACCAATTCTCTCAAATATTTGAAATATACATCAATTATTAATTAGCAGTAGTGAAAGTTCCTCAATTAACTGCAAATGGCTAGATCTGTGGCACTCTTTGGGGTTGTGTTGCTAATGCTTATAGCAATGGCAGAGGCAACTCCCCCTGGAATAGCTGACCATCCAAGCCATTCTCATTGCTCAGATGACGAAATCAAGCAATGTAAAAATCTTCCACATGTTTGTCCCAAATTCTGTCCCAATGGCTGCATAACTGAGTGTCGTTCTTGCAAGCCTATCTGTGTTGATGGCTCAGTGCCACCACCCTATTATCCACCACCGTCATCTCCACCATCATTATCTCCACCACCACCGTCATCTCCACCACCACCGTCGTCTCCTCCACCACCCTCATCTCCACCACCACCACCACCTCCCTCATCACCACCACCGTCATCTCCACGACCACCGTTATCTCCTCCACCCTCATCTACACCACCCTCTCCTAAGCCACCCACTCCTTCTCCTTCAAACAAGAAGGCTAAGTGCAAGAACAAGAACTACCCAAGTTGTTATAATCTCGAATTTTCATGCCCTGCCTCTTGCTCTGGTGGTTGTCAAGTTGACTGTGTCTCTTGCAAACCTGTTTGTAGTAAGTTACTAATTTCCTACCCTCTACTCTATTTTATACGATATTTCTTGTTTCTTTTATTATTCAAAGAATAGGAGCTATTGGTGTATATGGTAAAGTTGCTGTCATATGATCAGAAGATCACGGGTTCGAGCCGTGGAAACAACCTCTTACAAAAATGCAGGGTAAGACTGCGTACGATAGACCCTTGTGGTCCGGCCCTTCTCCGAACCCCGCACATATCGGGAGCTTAGTGCACCGGACTGACCTTTTCTTTTTTTCTTTTTTTCTTTTATGGTTCAAAGAGAATTAGTAATTATATTTTTATACTTGGAAGCTTTTTAGGTTCAATTTTTATGTCACCCTTAATGATAAGCTCTTCTAGTAATAGAAATGTCATGAAATCCTTAAGCTATAGCATAGCACAGGTGTCGAGGAGTAATTTTTATATGTTATATTTAGCTTATACTATATATTAAGCTTTTATGTCGAATGTTTCTTTGATTTGTTCGTTAGATCCGAGTTTAATAATGTCATATGAAATGAAATAGAGGGAGTACATGCTTTTGACTAGGGTGAGACCCTAAATCGGCTTAAATGTTTTAACTAAACTGTTTATTTACTGAATATTTTTATTTGGGACCCAGGGTGTGACATGCCTGGAGCTGTTTGCCAAGATCCTCGTTTCATCGGCGGTGATGGGATTACCTTCTACTTCCATGGTAAGAAGGACAGAGATTTTTGCCTAGTCTCCGACCCTGAATTTCACATCAACGGCCACTTCATAGGAAGGCGAAACGAGAACATGAAGAGAGACTTCACTTGGGTACAATCCATTGCTATTCTTTATGGTAATCACAAGATCTCCATTAGCGCACTAAAAACAGCAACATGGGATGATTCCATCGACCGCCTTTCCCTCCACTTTGATGATAAACCCATACTTCTTAATGACGAGGAAGGCGCAAGATGGCAATCTGAAACTGCACCTATGGCCTCTATTACTAGAATCAGCAACACTAACGATGTTGCCATCGAAGTTGAAAATATTCTCAAGATCACTGCCAAGGTTGTACCTATTACTGAGCAAGAATCCCGAGTTCATAACTATGGAATAACGAAAGATGACTGTTTTGCACATCTTGAACTTGGATTCAAGTTTTTCTCTTTGAGTAATGAAGTGAACGGTGTTTTAGGGCAGACTTATAAGAAGAATTACATGAGCAAAGTTAAGATGGGTGTTCTGATGCCTGTAATGGGAGGTGACAAAGAGTTTGCAACTTCAGGACTCTTTGAGGCTGATTGTTCCGTGGCTAGGTTTCAAGCAAATGGGGAACAAACTGATAAGGAGGTTGGCTTTGCTTTGGAGTTGCCGAGCTTGAGCTGCACTAGTGGACTTTATGGACGTGGAGTGGTCTGCAAGCGCTAGAATCATTACTAATGCGATTAACCTTAGGGATTCACGATCACTACTTTAATGAATAAGGTTTTATACCAATAATAATGGAGATTCAAGCATCTCCTCAAAAATATCTTTGTCTTCTAAAGGAAAGTAAATGATTTTATTTTCCAAACTGATGGGAAAACGTTGGCAATTGTTTCTTTGAACTTTGAAGTGGAGTATATTGTTTTCCTTTTTCGAAATTTGTATCTTTAATGGTTTTGCAGGAAAGAAGCATATTGTGGAGCGAGAGATGTTCGAACTCTCACGACAGGATAACTCACAAGCTATAGACCTACTCGTTAGCCAACTACCCCACCACCCTGTTGTCCTTTTATTTTTTTTTGCTAAGGAAAGAAATACTTAATTACTAAAAGGAAAAGCCAGAATTTAGTTATTACAAACTAGGGATTCGCATAGCAACCTTCCCCACTTGTCTTTATTGAAAGCATTTAAAATAAAGTTGGAAGGTAATTCCCGAACATAGTGTTGTCCGCTTCTATAGTTGGTGGACTCAAATTTAGTCCATATTTAACTAGTGCATCTGCCACAGAATTGTCTTCCCAAAATATGTTGTGTAATTGTAATAAGAAATAAGACGTGAGTAACCCTGACTATGAAAAGTAAATAAATTACATTACATGATACCTGGGAGTCTGTTTCCACAACAATTAAAAAAAGATTCTTTGTGAAAGCAAATCCCTGCTAATAGGGCAAACAGTTCAGCAAGTAGAGCAGATGTTGCAATTGAGCTCTTGGCGAAGCCCACAGCCCATGAGCCCACCACCCTGTTGTCCTTTTTCCATAAACGTTTTACACTTATTTTAGTGGGCCATATACACACGTAGCATGTCTTGACAAGATGAAAGTTCTAAACAAACAAAATTTGAGCTCACAACTAGTGACTGACGTGCCTTTTTCTTTTGGGTAACGACTGTCGTGCCTTTTGGTGTGCGAGCAAAGCTATATTGGCATATAGTCGTTTCGTACGCGAACTAAATTATCTCAGAATTATAATATTGAGATAATAATCTCTTGACTAATTTATCTCACCTCGAAGGTAGGATAAAATAATTTCAAGTTTGATGAGATATTCAGGATTAACTCTACAATTAAATTCATACTATGTTACCGTTAACCAAATACAATATAAATTTAATTCCACACCTAATCCCACTATATGTCACTTTATCTCGCATACCGACCAACCCCATAGAGCTGGATATAGACATTAAAAATTTGCCAAATAAGTACATAAAACAATTAGACTAGGGCCTCTACAAGATGAGCCCATTAGGGTTACTTGGTGGCTACTCCACTCAAACCCTATGTCATGCCTATAAATAAGGCTATAGATATCCTTCAAAACCATCTCAGCAATTCAATAAACTCTCGGAATACGTACAAAGATATCAAATACACAATCTCCGAAATTTTATAAAACTCTTGAAATATTAATTAAGAGATCAAAGGCATGTCAAATATGTCTTGCTCAAAGTTATAGCAACATTCAAGATCCAAATGGAGTGTTGCTACATGCTTATTGATCATCAAATACATCAAGGAGATACATATCATACTAAGTTCGAGCAATACACTGATTAGGCCCTCAAATTACGGATAACAAATCTGAGGGAAGAATCAAGGGATAAATAGAGTTATTACCCACAATTTTTATCAATAAAATCCTTTTTTATAATTTTTTTCTGATTGCAATTTTATTTTTCTGCACAAATTCATTGCAAACAAATTGGCATGCTCTTTGGGACAATCTCTACCTCTCATCTCAACGTTTCAATCGCCAAAGTTCAAGACATTGAAATGGCTTTACAAAAAATTAACTCCAGATCAACTTCCATCAATGCTGCTAATTCTAGGTTCTACACTGATGTGGAAAGCATCCTCGATGTTACCTTTGGAAGCTTTGGATCAGTTACAAGGAGCAAAGTAAGCTCTTTAGGATAACAAGCACACCAAATGTCGTCTACATCAATCCCTGTTTCGGATCTTCACCCTCCAAAGGAGCAAGGTCCTCTACGAACGCACCTGAAGGAGGATGCAATGTTGCTGAACAAATTAAGAAAACTCTAGCTCTGCTTAACCTCTCCAGATCCAAGAACTCTGTTGTAAAGGAAGATGATTATACATCAAGTGATGGATCCTCCCCACTTACATCACATAGCGTAAGCCAATCGAGGATGAATCTATATGACAATCCATGCTACTCCCCGTCGTCCACGGCAATCATGCAAGCAATAGTGACGAACGCTTTATCTATGGAGGAGCAGTTGGCAAACTTAACATAAGCAATTGCTGGCTTGACCAAGTACAAGCAAAATCAAGATGCTAGAATTGATAAGTTAATGGATAGGGTGGGAATCTTGATGGAAGATGAATCCAGCTATATGCCTGGAAAGTTCCCAGAAGTTCCAGAATGTGATCCTCCCCCAAGGCAAGTAGCATCCGCTAAGGCTATCCATGTCTCACCTGAGGAGATGATTTCAATTGATCAACTAAAGGAGTTCATTGAAGGGACTATAAAAAATAAGTATGAAGTTGCTTCCAAGTCCTCCCTTACATACACGGATTCATACACCGCAAAGATCGATAGCTTGAAGATGCTCACTGGATATCAACCTCCCAAATTTCAGCAATTCGATGGCAAGGGTAATCCAAAGCAACATGTGGCATAATTCATTGAGACATGCAATAATGTTGGGGCTTATGGAGATTACCTCATCAAGCAATTTTTCCGCTCGCTAAAGGGAAATTCTTTTGATTGGTATACGGACCTCGAGGCTGGATCTGTTGATAGTTGGGATCCACTGGAGCAAGAGTTCCTTACCCGCTTCTATAGCACAAGGAGCACCATTAGCATGGTGGAACTTACAAATAATTGTCAACGGAAAGATGAACCAGTTATCGACTTTATCAATCGATGGAGGAATGCAAGCCTCAACTGCAAATATAGGCTTAGCAAAGGTTCTGGCATAGAGATGTGCATCCAAGGCATGCATTGGTGACTTCATTACATCTTGCAAGGCATCAAGCCTAGGACATTCGAAGAACTTTCCACTCGTTCCCATGACATGGAGTTAAGCATGGCCTCTTCTGGGAATGAAAGGTTGCCTGTATACAAGCCTCGTAAAGGGAATGACAAGCAAGATGTTAAAAGATGGAGTAAGTTCATGCGCAATTCGCAAAGCAAAGAAGCTATGAATGTCAACACATCACCTATGAAGTTCACAACAAAGTTGAGCAAGAAGCAGAGTATGAAATCCACTTCTTTTCAAGATAATCCAAGTGAAAAATTGACTCTAAAAGAAATGCAAGAAAATGAGTACCCATTTCCAGATTCTGATATCCCTGCAAGTTTTGAAGAACTCCTTGAGCTATAGCTCATTGAGCTGCTGGAGATGAAGCGACCAAATGAAGCTAGAAAAATTAATGTTCAAATTACTGCAAATATCATCAACTTATGAGTCACCCTCTTGAGAAGCGCATTATCTTCAAGGACAAATTTATAGACTTGGCTCGTGAAAAGAAGATCATGCTTGAAGATGAGTGTTGATATCCAATTTTGCCCTCATATTTTTTCAAATAGTATATATACTTTCAAAATATCATTTTGCATTATTACCTAATTTACAAGGGTTATACAAGTATTTTCTATAATTTTCCATAATTCTTTAAAGCTTCAAAATTGATTTTTCTTGCATTTAAATTATTTGAATATTTATTAATTACCCTTTCAAATTATTTTGTGATGACTTTGTCATCCACATTTGTTATTTACACCCTCATACATGTTTTAAAATATTTTTACTTCATTTCACATAATTATATTTGTATTTTTGAGCTATTTAAATAATCTTTGCAATAATAGCCTATATTTTACAAATAATTGCGTTTATCATATTATTTATGCCAAAATAGAATTTTATATTTTTTATAGTGTCGAGTTATTATTTTTAAATATTGTTTACAGCATAAATATTATTTTTACCATTTATTAGATGTTTTAATAATTTATTTGTTTTGTTAATTTTGAAGGGTTTCAAGAGCTGGCCCAAAACAGGCCAATTTTTTCGGACCAATTTGGCCCAAACCATTAGCCCAACACCCCAGCCCAACCAGACAACCCTTTAGATGACCCAGTCGTGACCCGTCAAATAACCCGCCTCGTTTCCTCTTTGATCATGGCCGTTGATCTTAAATGATCAACGACCCATAATAAACCCTTCCCTTCTCCTTATATTCCCATAACCCAAACCCTAACCCCATTTTCAACTATCAGCCGCCCTTAAACCACTTAACTCTTTCCTCTTCTGAGAAACCCTAGTAGCCGCATCCCTATTTCTCTCCGATTCCAACCTAAAAATGGAATCAATCCGTGATTCACTTACCTATTTTGTGATACTTTGCTATTGTATGCGTGTCTATGGCGTTACTTAGTTCTCACCCTATTTTTGGAAAGAACTACCTTTCAAGAGCTGGCCTGATTGACTCCGATTTTATGAAGATCTAAGCGATATTTCGTCTATATACACTCTACAATGAATGATTCTTGCATTATCGGTCTGATTTATGGCCGTTGGACCCAACTAGGGTTTGAAATTTCTGTCATTTCTTTTACCGGCTCTGTTACTGATTGCATGTGCTCTTTTCCTTCCTTATTTACGATTATTTAATTATTTTCCATGTTTGTTCATCATAATCTGTCACTATATAAACCCCTCCCCAATTTCCCCTTTAGAGAGATTCCAATCGCTAAAAAACTACTATTGTTTTTCTTATTCTTGCCTTACACTATTCTAAAACTTAAACCCTTGGCCGGCTGAAAGCCAAGGCTACTGGAACTCGATTATTCGACCTTTCTCAGTGCAAGCACTGCCCGAGGTTCATCTGAAATCCTTGGGAACTCTGACGCACTGAGATTTGGGGTTCTACTGTTCGCTTTGCTACTGACATTCAAGATATTGCTGAAATTGTTCTTTGTTTACTTACTTGTCAATTAGTAACTGGTAAGTACCTATGACCCTTGCAATTTTATTCTCTTTTCGTTTGAGTTCCTATTATGCATATCTATGTGTCTAAGATTTGTTTTTATGTACCAACATGCTATTGTATGCTCTGAAGCTCTTCTTGAGGCTCTACACCTTCTAGT